ATTCCATGAAATATTATGCCATTTTTAGAAAAAATAGATATAAAATCTATATAAAACAAAGAAAATGATTATTACATGTGTGGGGAAAAAACACACTATTTATGACTCCAACTATGTAAAGAAATAGAAAGTGAAATAAAAATGGCCATGATTGTGGTGTTCTCTGTTTTCCGTTTATTCTTAAATGCACACGGGGTAAGAAAGAGCATCACCCAAAAAGTAAATAAGTAGAAACCCCTTCCATGGAAGCTGAGCAAGAGGAGAAGAGGACAGACGGGGGTGGGCTCCCAGCTGCAGGCTTCCAGGGGCGCAGGAAGGGCGTGACTTGGCCTCACCTGTCCCACCTGCTCCAGCAGCTCACGCCCTTGCTGGGCAGGAGGAGAATAAGAGACAGGGAAATGGAGAAAATTGTAAACTGAAACACAGAGGTGCTGAAAATACTCTGATTTGCTAGAAATTTGGACCGTAATTGAAGGCCCCTGGGGAAAAAGCAGAAAATGATGTTTGGAGACCCCTCCCTCCTCTTCGTTTCTCCCTGAGGTTTCACAGCATGTATTGGAGAGAAAGTGACCCCTAATCTCTCCCTGCACAAAACCACAGAGGGGAGCGAGCCAGACAGCCTCGAGGTTAGGACAGAAATCGTGTCGTCTTAAAGAGGGTCAAAGAGTTGCAAATTGGTACTAACTGATCAACACTTAGGTGCACACATGGACGTAACATTCATCGGGTGTCGGGCAGGTGGGGGGAGAGGGGGAGATGGTATATTCACACCTGATGGGTGCGGCGCGCAGCGTCTGGGGGACAGACACGCTTGAAGCTCTGACTCGGGTGGGGCAAAGGCAATGTACAGAACCGAAACATTTGCACCCCTGTAAGATGCTAAAATAAAAAAAAAAGAGTGGCAAGTTCCGAGTCATCTCTCAGACTACGATTGGAATGGATAAGTTATCGTGAGCCCAGGAAGTTTCCAACCAAGCCCGGAGGACGGGGCGGGGAACACAGCGGGACCACAGGCCGAGCAGAGCAAGAGCCGCTCTAGACGATTTCTCCACTGAAGTGCAAGGACCTGGCCCTGCAACTGCCCTAAGTACCGATCTTCATCCAGGTTGGGATACACCCCACACGACCAGGCACTTCTTCACAGCCACAGAATCCGCGGGTATTTAACTTTCCCAGCCACAGAGAAGAAAGGGCCACAGGATGCGTGATCCAACACGCAGGTTGCACGTGCCCGAGTTCCAAGAATGATACTGACCGGGCCAAACATCAACCTGCAAGTTGTCCTCCTACTTCCTGGACTTACGTGGACTTATATCGACATCCCTAATCATTAGAGACACGCAAATCAGAACCACAGTGAGACACCACCTCATGCCCTTCAGGATGGCTACTGTGAAAACACAGAAGACGCCGAGTGTTGGCGAAGACGTGGGGAAACCAGAAACCTTGTGCTCTGTCGGTGGGAATGCAAGAGGGTGCAGCTGTTGTAGGAAACAGTATGGCAGTTCCTCAAAAATTTAAAAATAGAATTACCATATAAAATTACCATATGATGCAGCAATTCTATTAATACTTCTGGGTATATATCCAAAGGAGCTGAAAGCAAGGTCTTAAAGAGATATTTGTATAGCCACATCCACAACAGCAGAATTCACGATAGCTAAACCGTGGAAGCAACCCACGTGTCCTTCCGCAGACGAATGCACAAATAAAATGTGCCGTTTACCTGCAGTGGAATATTACTCAGCCTCAACACGGAAGGAAATTCTGGCACACGCTACACAACGCATGAACATCGAGGACATCATGCTACGTGGAATAAGCCAGTCACAAAAGGACAGATACTACATGCTTCCACTTCGATGAGGCACCGAGAGTATTCAAATTCACAAGAATAGAAAATAAAATGAGGTTGCCAGGAGCTAGAGGAAGGGCGATGGGGAGAGAGTGTTTAATGGATACAGAGTTTCAGCTTAAGATGAAAAGAGTTCTGGAGACAGACGGTGGAGATGGTTGCACAACAAGGAGAATATATTCAATTCCTCTGAATTGTACACTTAAAAATGGTTAAGATAGTAAAGCTTATATTGTGTGTATTTACCACCATAAAAAATAAACAAATCAAATAAATGATGAACTCTCAGTGCATTTTGTTAAATGCAATTCATGGAGATGCCTACAATTGTCATATAAATTTTCCTTTGAGTGATAACCCTTATATGCCTTCTCTCTCTCCTGCGTTGTTCTACTTCTGAGAAGCTAGCTCTACGACTGTCTGAGGACCAGAGATGATTCTACGAGCAGTGACAGCTATAGCTGAAGGACTTTGACAGGGCGACCCAGAAGTGAGCTCACCCACTGACACCCGACTCTCACATTTCGATCATCAGTGCTTTCAAGAAGGAAGACTTTTGCTCAAGAGGAGGAAACGAGGAAAGAAAAGAACTTTCGTTTGAGGAATGTGAGCCCTTTCAAATTATCAGCCCAGAGAGACATTAAAACGAGACCCCAATCACACCCCACTGCCCCCTGCGAGTGATATATTCCCCTCTTGAAACTGCTTGCTTTTGCCGCAGTAGCTATGAATTAACCTGACAATGCCGCGCGCTATGGCTTAATGATTAGCCAATAACTAATCAATGTTATTCCTGCAAGCCAGTGAGAATTCCTGACAAACAGCTGCCCGTCGGCCCTCCTGCCCTCTTCCTCTTGCCGTTACAAATCCACTCGCAACCTCTGCTGACAGGAGCGTGGACTCAGGGCAACTCGAGTCTCTGCGCCCGGGTCGCAACCCGTAAGCTTGGCCCAAATAAACGTTCTCATATTAATCTTGCCTCAGCTTCTTCCTTGCAGGTTGACAGCTGAACCCGGACAAACCCTGCATGATATCACTGATATGCAGAATCTACGAAAGTCGAACTCACAGAGACAGAAAGTGGCACGGTGGGTGCCAGGGCC